AAAAAGGTCACACTACAGTTCAAAGAGCTTGTAATGCTACTAATTGAAAGCAAATTTATAGGAAGTTGAGGGACATGCAATACACAATTCAGGTTAAGGCCATGGGGAAGAGATATTGATCCTTGGCCTGCAATGGAGGAAAAAGAACCATCTGCAAGTCTCACTCTATCCCTCCTGACAAAAGGCTATAAGACTGAAACAAGTTCGGCTTACCGGTCATGTGGTTGGAGACCCTTGAGTCAATGATCCAAGGGGAATCCGTGGGAGTGACATGGAATGCAGAAGCCGTATTACCTGAAGTAGATGCAAAAGAAGTAGAGGGAGTACTAGTGACTGAGTTGTCCATTTGTTGCAAAGCCCTACCATAAGATTCCAGGTGCTCTCTGAAGGAATTCATTATATCTTCCTTGGGGTCAGACTTAATAGGGTGGTCCCGGGTACTACCGGCAACCTGAGTATCTTGGGTTGCCACATGTGCTATGTTCATTTTCTTCTGACCTTGACCTTGACCTTGACCTTTACCCTTCTCTTGATTCTTTGTTGCCCACTTGGGTTTCCCGTGGATGTCCCAACAAGTGTCACATGTATGTCATGAACGCCAACAATGGGTACAGAACAACTTATCTTTATCATCAGTCTTCTTAGTGTCACTTTTCTTCCCTGTGGAGTTATTATTTATTGCAGCCAAAGCAACTTGTTGCTCCCCCTCATCTGTAACCATTACATTCCGTCTACTTTCTTCTGATTGAACAGGGGAGTATACCTCGTGAACCGTAGGCAACTCTTTGCTTCCTAGGATCTGTACCCTCTACGGTTCATATGCAGGGTTCAATCCCAACAAGAAGGCAAGCACACGTTGCTGAGAGACCAGCTTCCTGTAAGCCTTAGCATCATCATCATGTTTTCACTCTATAGCTTGATAATGATCCAATTCTTTCCATATGGAGGTAAGGGCTGAATAATATGAAGACAAACTACGGTTTCCCTGTTTACATGTTGAAGATTCAGCCTATAACTGGTAAAATAGATAGTTTTGGCCTGTTCCCAGATCTCACTAGCGGTGTCTGCCCACATAAAGTTTTTCTTCACATCATGTTCCATGGCTGCGAGGAGCCAAGACATCACCATACTGTTTTCTTGGTCCCACCTATCATGTTCAGCTGTCTCACCCTTGGGTTCTTTCACCCTTCCATTAATGTAACCAGCTTTACCCCTTGCCGTTACATAGAGTTTTACGCTCTTAGCCCACTCTAGGTAGTTCAGACCGTTTAAAAGGGTAATTGGCATGGGAAAAACCATGTTTTCACCTCCCATACCTGCTGTGCTGCGGGTTGGTGTAACCCCCGATGAAGTTGATTCATAATTTGCCATCGGATACTACTGAAAAACAGTCCAAAGACCACCCAACTACTCAGCAGCCACAAACAGAATACCAACCCTCAAGGAATTTACTTCTAGGATGTGAGGAAGAGAACAAAAAACACTGCTGAAAACAACTCTGAGAAGGTTCAGTCAACACCACTAGTCATTAAACCAGCCCGGTAATCAGTTCAACACAACCAAGGCAGACATTACTATTAGTCTGACTGTAGGTCATACAGTCTAACAATTCAACATCCAAACAAATATCTATATAACTAAGGAATGAGCCCTACACATCATTGGCCAAAGAAGACTGAAACAAAGAACACACCTGTTCAGCACTTGTACGAAGGTGCTAACCTGAAATCGATTTCACAGCATCGAACAGAGGAGGAAGGGAGTCTGTACCAGCATCGCCCTTCTCCGACTAGGGTTTTCTTGGTATTACGACCAAGAAAAAACACAGGAATCAGGAATTGCCGCCAGAAAACTTCTAGGGTTTCCGCCAGTAACTTACTAGGGTTTCCCTGTCTTCCACGTCCAAAACTTTTAAAGAAGGAAACCTTGCTCAAAACAGGAGGGATTGTGGGTCTTTTACAGCCCAGAAAACCTGCTCTGATACCATGTAATGATTCATGGAGAGTGGGAGAGAGAGAGAGAGAGAAAGAGAAGGAAAAAGAGAGGTACGATTGAGAGAAAAAAGATGCTACTGGCTGCCGCCGGTTTTCTATTTATATTAACTCAATAAAAGAATAGAAATTACAAGTATGCTTCTGGCGGCACACCCTAGAACCAAATTAATAAGAAAAAAAGACAAGTAACTAACTGATAGTATCCTAAGAAGTCAGCCTACTAACAGCAGCTATAAAGTAACAATTAAATAAGCCTTACAACATTTCCTCTACTAATAGTATATTTCTATGGCTAGAAAAAATGATGTTTCATCAGTTCTTTGTTGGTTGTTCAGAACTTGAAGCAGGTAATGTCTCTAGTCTGATTCTTCATGTCACATTGGCTTAGCTCAAAAGACATTACCTTGGATCAATGTTTTGAAATAAGAAATAATTGTATGGTGTCCAATTTTCAGAACCTTTTAGACAGAAATTGAGAATGAAAGAAAACTTGAGTTATCAAAGATCTCACCTTTATCTCAGGCTGTAAGATGGTGGAAGGAATGCACCAATGGGTGCTTCTCAATGAAGTTGTTTATGATGCATTTATCAGAAATCAGGTGAAACTTCTCAGATTTGGGGTGCTTGCAGTGATCACTTCCTCCAAGAATGGATGCTTTTGCAAGATTATTGTCCATGGATATCATTTTCTGACCTCAGGTTGTTTAAAAATAGAGGATCCGGAATGTCAAGCCTATGCTTTTTATGCAATATACATGAAGAAGATACTAGGCACTTATTCATCACTTGTAGTTGTGCAGCTTTTTTGGCCTTTATTCTCTTCATTGTTTATAAAGTCACTGCTCAGCCACAGTAGTCCTTGTGAAGTTTTCTTAGTATCTTTTGCTGGAAATAAAAGTTTAAAATATTCTGGATTCAGTGCAGTGTTACCAATTTGTGGTCTGTTGGGGAATTTTCGAAGACAAGAACAGGGTGGTGGTTCTATTCTGACATCTGGAGCTTTAGGACATCCATAGATCATCATCCAGATCAAACTCATAGTTTACTCTGGATATCATTGTAGAGAATGAATAGGTGTACATTTCCTTTCCTTAGTAGTTTTTACTCAATAAAATTTTATTTCTCTTTGTTATTCAATAAAGGATTACTGTTGGAATCTACAAGAGAACCATTCAGTTTTCTTTGTCCTCTAATGGAGGACAGGATATTGATCAAGAGAAATTTTATTGCAAATAAATGAGAGAAGAGAGCTTGCTTGGCTAAGTGCAGCTAGCAAGCCTCAAAGTACAAGCATTGCCTGCCTGCCAGGTCAGGGCCACAATACGGATTATCTTTATTAACTGCCTCCTTAGCAAGAGAATCAGCAAATGTTTCTGTCAGTCCTGGGCTTCACTGAATCTGATAGTTTTCTTTTGCTTTTCAGCCCATGTAAGGATCAAGAAATTCTATTAAATAAGAAAGATAGATGAACTTTTATATTTTGAGATGCTAGTGATTGAAGTTTCATCTGTAACTTATCCTCATCTGCAATATGGTTTTACTCAAGGTTCAAAGTATCGATACGATATGTCCTGTATCAGGTGTATCATATTGTATCTTTGGGTTTCCGATACACCTATTTAAAGGTGTTTTCAGGAAACTGATGTTTTTATTTATTAAACAATATTAAAATATATCAAACTGAAATTAAAAAAAAACTAAAAAACGTGTGGGGTAAAAAGTATTGATACACCCTTGCCGGCATATCGGGGTGTATCATTACTCTAAACCTTGGTTTTACTCGGTACTTTAATGGTCGTAAGGTAGTATTTCTATTGAAATTAGTATTTGGAGTTAAAGTTTTCCTTGTCTAAGGTGCTTGCTAACTAGTATTTCGATTTTTACAAAGTTCTGTAAAGATGGAGTTGGTTCTTTTCTTTATTTCCCCGAGTCATTTTTCAGTTATGAAATGGAAGGTTTTTGGGACATTTTGGAGAGAGAACTTTGATTTAACAATTACATGTAAAGATAAATTTTGAATGGCAGAAGAAATTGCCTCATTTAGGATTAGAATTGTACATCTATATTTATGTGTTGGATAGAAGATTGCAGATTGCTTGTTACACAAACAATAAAGCAATCATGAAAAAAACAATCTATCTTACAGATGGTTGTTCTTTGATAAGGGCTTAATGTAAATAGAGCTTCAAGAGGGTTTGTAAAAGCCCTATATTAACACACTAAAAATGTTAGACGTAGGAAAATTACTTTTAATCATTACTAATTGCTCTTTTCAAATTTGTTTTTCTTTTACTGATCAGTATAGAATTCATTAGATAGCGAAAAAGATACACCAGGGAAAATTGTAAAAAAGAAAAACAAAAAGATACACCAGGGAAAGACCTTTAACACCACAAAAACCTTAATCACTGAACTGGCAAAACAATCAACCACAACTTTCAAATCGCATCCACTCCTTGTGTGATATTCTTTAGATGAAAGTAACTAATATAATTTGAGATTTTTGTTGTATTGCATGCCATTATTGGTCCTGCTTCTATGAAATCTCAAATCGTCAATTACTGATTCACTTCTGTTTCCCTGCATTTGCATTAGATATATTGTTTGACTGTCTTAATGATTCTTGAAAGGTTACTTTAGCCAGAAAAGATGCTGACTGTAAAAATGAACTGGCAAGTATATTATATTTTCATAGTTATAGACCAATGAACATGATTGACTAGATTAGATCATTTATTTTTGGTTTCTAATCACTTACTGTTGACAATTGCAGCATATTGGTGACTTCAATTTTCCAAGGTTGGCAGATTTTGGTGCTGCTATTTCGGGGGCAAACAAGCTGCAATGCCAGAAAGTGCTGGAAGAACTTGATGTAAGAAACCTTTTTTAATATTTTTTTTTTCTAGTTTTTCAGAGACTATACGTAAAGTCATAAACATATTAATGCACAGGCAATAAGAATCCACTTTTTTTTTTTTGATAAACGAGTAAAATTTTATTAAACCAGCAAATAAGAGTTACATGCAACCCGTAGAAAGGCACGAGATGCGACTTTTCCCTTAAAGCTGGTTACAGAATTATAAGTACAAAAGAAATTACACAGAAGCCCAAAATAAAGTATCCTGGAGAACCCCTTGTTTTGCAAGTGAATCAGCCATTGAGTTTGCTGATCTGCCTACCCACTGAACTCTGATTGTCATATTCCTTGTTAACCATTTAACCATTTTGAGAAGATCTCTAAAACCCCAAATTACAGTGTCCGGATCCTTCAGCCAACCCACTATCACCTGGGAATCCCCTTCAATAATCAGATCCTCTATGCCTAGCTGATTTGCAAGCTGGATTCCTTGTACAGCAGCAAGTAATTCGGCCCTTAAAGAGTCTTCCACACTCGCAGGACCTGAGTACAAAGATATAATGTTACTGTCTTTGTTTCTCAGCACTCCTATGCCTGAAGGTTCTGGATTTCCTTGGCTACTCCCATCAAAGTTCAGCTTGATAAACTCCTCCCCTGGTGGCATCCATTCAACCCCGTGTCTGTCCTTCCTGGTAGAAATATTAGCCACTGCTAACCAGCTTCTCCATAGGTCATCAAAAGAGTATGCATCAAAGAGCTTTAGAGTTTTCAGCCACTGAATTGCCCTTGTCAAAATACATTCTTTAGCTTTCGAGCAGCTCGTTTCTTTTTCACAAAAGATTCTGGTGTTCCTTTCTTCCTAAACTGTCCCCAACAAATCTGCTCTTATGCAATTTCACATAATTCTCTTTCTCTTTGTGTGCCATTCAAAAATAGATGGACTACACAACAAGCTAGTATCAGATGGCAGGTTCCACCAACACTCAAACAACATAAGAATCCAATTCCATAAAGCTGTAATAAGAGCCCTCTTATTTATAAGGATCAATCATCCCTTAAGTTGTCTTTATTGTGCTGAAGCAGTTTAACTTCATTACAAGCTTGTTGACAATATATATGCATATATTGTATTGTCTAATCAAAGCTTATGGGTTTCATGAGTTTTTTTCTCTTTCAATTATCTCAGTTTATTACTTATGGTCGTAATGTTTATTATCATGTTAAGATTCATTAATGGAGGAACCCTCCCCCCTAAATATTCTAGATTTCTAGTACAGAACTCTTCTTGAAACATCTAGGGGAATGGATGGTGGTATATATGTGTGTGTGTGTGTACATACATAACAACATGCATAAAAGTGCTATATGTACCTATCTGTATGTATTGGTTTTGCATTGGACATAGCGATCTCTTAAGTGGAACTTATAATGACAGGACCTCTCTGAGTCTGGATATGTATAATATGCCATAACATGCTTAGCACAAAGAGTTAGGGGTGCAATGGATCGGATCATGATCTGATCCAATCCTATTTGGTCGAATGCGGATCACCCCTATCCAATCTGATATATGTTATATATTTATAAATATAAATATATAATACATATATATGTTATTTATTTATTTATAAATATATTATTTATATTGTATTTTTATAAATTTGTTATATTATTTATTTATTTTTAATAAAAGACATGTATATATATGATGAAAATAATTAAAAAATACTTCTATTTTTTGTTTTTTCGTTATTTAAATTGTTATATTTTAATTTTCTTTTAATAATTTATTAATTTTTAAAGAAAACAAGTCGGATTGGATCAGATCCAAAGACCCGACTTACTGATAGGATTTGAATTCAAGTTGAGGCCTATCAGATCTGACCAGATCTTCAGATCGGATCCAACCTGGCATGAACAGTGTCGGATTGGATTCGGATATACCCTGATTCGAATATGACCCAATCTGTTTGCATCCCTACAGAGAGTTAGCTTCCCTCCATTTTGACGGGAATTTCCTACTTATATATATGGTTTAACAGATTAGAAACCTTTTAATAAATTAAAACAAGTAATTAAACACAGTTGAAGGGTCTGGAAGAGCTAGGGCCTGGCCAAACCGCCAAAATGGACAAAAGTTGGAAGTAATGAGATATGGTTAAAAGGCCCATGAGTCCAATGACTTTCCAATTGATATGGCACTGAACAGAGCGAATTGCAGAAAGGGTTCTTGTAAGGCAACCCTATATAAGCACAAAGATGTCCTACAGGAGTAAATGCTGAGCCACAAGGATGACGTACTCCATATGCATATACATACCTTGGTCTACCATAGAATGACAGACCCCCATACAACACCACCTGGTTTGCCCACAAGGATGAATTGCAGAACATGGTTCTTGTAAGGTAACCCTATATAGTTGGAACAAGGCTTAGTTGAGGTAATTAAGTACAGTAAGCACAAAGATGCTGTCCCACAGGAGTAAATTCTGAGCCACAAGGATGACATACTCCATATGCATATACATTACCTTGGTCTACCACAGAATGATAGACCCTCATACAGCACCACCTGGTTTGCGCTCTGTATTGCAGGTGAATCTACTAGAGTGTTTTCTGATCTTTTGATCCTTCTGACCTTCTGAACAAGGTATTCATTCTAGAGGCCAGATCCCTGGCTGCCCTAATAAAATGAAGAGATGGAGTGTACTGAAGAACTAATTGGCAATTTTACAGTAACAATCAAGTTGAGAAGGAAAGAAGATGGTTTTGAGTGGGCCTTAACCAATGTCTATGGACCTAACTCGTATAGGGAGAGAGATGATTTTTGGGATGAGCTTGCTATAAGGGGTCTGTGGAATGGATTGTGGTGTCTGGGGGATGATTTCAATGTCATAAGATTCCTAAATGAAACTACCAATTCAAATCATAGGGTGACCTCTAGCATGAGAAAGTTCAGCCTTTTTGTGGACTCACATGAACTTAGAGAGCTACCTATGTTGCAAGCAGACTTCATTTGGTCCAATTTCCAAGAAGAACCCTTGTGTTGTAAATTATATAGATTCTTATTCTCTTCAGAATTTGAATCTGCATGGAGGGGACCAGCAATGAGGGCTCTCCCTAGACCTACCTCAGACCATTGTCCAGTTAGGTTATCCCAAGAAAACATAGGAGGGGGGCCATGTCCCTTCTGGTTTGAGAACATGTGATTGCTACATCTTGATTTTATAAAAAAGGTTCAACTGTGGTGGGAAGAAGACCAAGTGGAATTCAGGTGGAAAGGGTACAAGTTTTATAAAAAGCTGCAGGCCCTAAAAGCTAGAATCAAAGCTTGGAATAAGGAGGAATTCGGAAGAGTGAAAGAAAGAAAAGAGTGGATTGCCAATAGGATTCAAGAAATTGATGGAGGTGAGGCAGAGAGGAGAATGACAGTAGGAGAGAGGGAAGAGCATTGGAAGCTGAAACAAGAATTGCAGGAAATCATAAGGAAAGAGGAGATAAGTTGGAGACAAAAATCTAGGTGTAAGTGGTTGAAGGAGGGAGACGGGAATACCAAATTTTTTTCACACTTTAGCAAATGGAAGGAAGAGGAAGAATTTTGTGGGGAGGCTGGAATGGAATGGGGAAGTGATTACAAGTGAGGAGGAGATATCAAGAGCCTTTGTGGAACATTTCAAATCCATTTATGACAGCCCAAGAAGAGAGAGAGAGAGAGAGAGAGAAGAAGAAATCCCTAACCTTGATTGGCTACCTGGGAATAGGGTTTTGATGGATCAACTAGAAATGAATTTTAAAGTCCAAGAAGTAAAAGATGCTATTTTTTCAATGGAAAGATCTAGAGCCCCAAGCCCAGATGGTTTCATGATGGCCTTTTACCAAGATTGTTGGGATATTATAGGTGGTGATTTAATGGAGGTCTTCTTGGAATTCTTTGAGAGATGTAAGATAAATTTGGGTGCCAATGCTACTTTCATAGCTTTGATTCCTAAAAAGTTAAATGCAAACCACCCAAAGGATTTTAGGCCCATAAGCCTAATTGGGAGTATGTATAGGGTAATATCAAAGGTCTTGGCAGAAAGAATAAAAAAGGTACTACCTTCCTTGATTTCTCCTAACCAAGGGGTGTTTGTGTTAGGAAGACAAATTATTGATCATATCCTTATTGCTAATGGATGTGTGGATTACAGAAAAAGACAAGGAGAAAAGGGTCTAATTTGCAAACTAGATTTGGAGAAGGCCTATGATTTGGTGGACTGGGACTTTTTATTGGAAGTATTGAGCATCAGAGGATTTGGAGAAAGGTGGTGCATGTGGGTTAAGGGCTGTATCTCTTCATGTCACTATTCCATTCTAGTAAATGGGGTAGCCAAGGATTTCTTCCCAGCAAAGAGAGGATTAAGACAAGGGGACCCTCTTTCTCCTTTCCCTTTCACCCTGATAGTTGATGTATTGAGTGCCCAGATTACTAGAGCCGATGCTAGAAATTTGATTAGAGGGTGGAGAGTAGGGAGGGAGGAAATAGTTGTAACCCACCTTCAATTTGCTGATGACTTGATTCTCTTTTGTGAAGGAGATTCGGAGGAGTTGGGAAATTTAAAGGTCTTGGTAGAGAATTTTGAGAAGGTCTCCAACTTAAGAGTAAATTGGAATAAAAGTTGTGTAGTTGGAATTAATAGGCAAGAAGGTCATGTGGCATTGTTGGCTAGACCTTTAGGTTGTGAGGTAAGTGAATGGCCCCTTAAGTATTTAGGCTTACCTTTGGGAGGAAATCCGAGGTTTGTTAGCTTTTGAGAAAGACTAGCGGGTTGGAAAAGGAACTACATCTCTTTGGGGGGTAGAATCACTCTAATTAAGTCAACACTAGCAAATTTGCCAGTGTATTTTTTGTCTATCTTCAAATTGCCTGTTAAGATTGCAAACCAGATTGAAAAAATAATGAGAGATTTTCTGTGGGAGCCTGGAGTTACCAAAAAGGATCATAGCGTAAAATGGGAAGTGGTGTCCAGAAAGAAAGA